GACTAAGTTATTTTCGGCAGGGCAGAAGAGCCATCGAGAAAGCCTACATAACTATTTGCACAAAAAAGTTTCAGAACTTGCAGAACTCCAGCTTCGCTCGCTGATTAATTGATGTGAGCTAGATAGGAATTAATATAAGTTGGTAGGGAATTATTCTATGTAATCACCTTTCCATTTGGAGCAATCACCTTCTTCTCTGCATTTAATTGTAGCTTCTACTTTTTAATAAACCTTCTTATCCTTACATACCTTACCATTGTGGTATATTTCCACCCCTTCTGTTATTTTCGGAATGCATTGCAAGTTCTATTAGTTTTTCTAGTTCTAGGGTTTGTCGTTAGGGTATTTTTTATGTTGAGAGAACTGTTATGTATGTTTTTTTCCGCTTTGTTCCTTCTCAGAAGTTCTGGATGGAATTTTGGTACTGCTCGGTACCTCCAGGTGTTTTTAGGTACCGGTCAGTATCCCTCGGTACCGCTCCGTACATCACCTACACCCTCGAAACCCCCAAGCCCAATTAGCTCACCACCACGGGCGGCGGGGGGCACGCCCCCCCCCCCCCCCCCCCCCTCCGAAACTTAAAAGTCGCCTGAGGTTAAGGAAAAAAAAAATCCTATTCTAGTCGCCGCTCTTACCTCTCTACTCTCGCGACCGCTTCTACTGGCGCGACTGTGCTCCACTCCACGCGATCCTATTTACAGAGGTTTCTTCTTTCATTGTCCGCTTTATATTTATCCTATATTTACTGCACCGACGCACAAGCCACAAAGCTTTTCCAGTAACGTCGCATAAAGCTATTCTAGTCATAGATGAAATCTGCTTTGATTTTCCAGTCATAGATGAAAATGTGAAATCTTTTTTGACATTTGATATGATCATTAGGCTGACATTTGCTATGATTATTAGGTTGGGAAAGCATCAACTTGTTTCTAAGTTCTATCATTTTTCAATTTATTTTTGTTTGCCTCTGCAGTCAGTTCTTTGTTTTCAGCGTAGTATTCATAAATTTTATTTGCTTGATTCATGAATACACCACCAAATCAACAGGAATTACAAGCAGATTGATTTTTCTATGATTTTAATGCCAGCTTATACACTTTCTTAAGGCAAAATTTTGTCTCTGCTTTAATTGAGCTTGGTGAATGCAAAATGGACAAATTTTTTTTAAAATAATTTTAAAACTGTCAATGCCTATTCCAATCATGCATGAAAAAATTTTAAGGAAATATTTTAAAATAAAATTTTGGGCCCCCACTAAAAAAATTTCTGGCTCCGCCACTGACCAGAGACTCCCATAAGAAGAGCAGCAACACAACTAAAATAAACATAAGGTTCTGCATGAGCATCTGGAAGATAAAACAACTTCAACAAAAAATTATTAGTTTGAATAAAAGAAAATAAACAAGCAGAGCCAACCCCAAAAGAAACAGGCATAACCCAAACAAAATAGCTAGCAGAAAACCCAAAGCCAAGCAACCAAACCCCAGCCCAAAGGACCACATCCAAACCCCAAACAGAACACCATAGTCGAGCCCCAAGAAGAACGTCCTAAATAGCCAACCTGAGAATCAACTAGCAGCAACCCACCAATTACCTCAACTAACACCTCGCCTGGCAAAGCAATCGCAGCCAAACAGCTGTAGAACACAAACCACTATTAGCAGCAGAATTTATAATGAGTTTTAGATCTTCTAGGTCTACCTTCAGAAAGCTTAAAATCTTGCACCACCTTTTTATTTTTATTTTCCTATTTTTCTTGCCAACAACTTTTGCAAAGCATCATTATCAACTTACACCACATTTATGTCATAATCTTCATGAGAATCAATACTAAAATCCTCAATAGCCTCCCCATAATCTCTAATAACTGACATATTGTAGGGATTAACCAGCCAAAATGGTCAAGATGATTCACATTAGAATGCACAATTAAAGGCATAGTAATGTGGACATATATACCATTAGTAACATCAAAAAAAATGGCAATGTGATGAGACCCCTATTTAGACAGCACAACATCACCACTAGCGACCACATAGGAACTAAAAATAGGATAAGAAGCATGATAATTAGCTAAGCAATTGGAAGTAAGAGCGACATTATTCAACATATGATATGCAGCCATAATGTCAAGATTGTCACCATTTTTTTTTACCAACAGCTAAAGAAACATTATATTTTTAATAGTTAATTTTAATACATGATATGTTCAAATTATTTAATCTATTTAATAATATCTATTAGATTATCTAATTAATTTATTTTAATTACTTAAATTAATACAATAATAATTATTAAAGCTTTTTAATAATTTAAGTTTAACAATATTCAATTTAACTGATATAGTTTAATAAAACAAATAAGTTTTAAATATTTATAATAATTATTTCACTGGAAAATTTTAAAACTGCAAGAAAATTTGTTGGAAACATTTTGTCGGAAATAAACTAGAATTTTTAACATATTTATTTCTTCCAAAAATTCCCTCAAAAATTAACATTTTTCTTGTAGTGATATACTAACACGTTCCTTAACTAAGTGCATGGGATGATGACTAACACATTCTTTTTTAGAATGGCCTAAAGATTTATAAAGCTTACTAAAGAATGGAAAATCATCCATCAAAATACTTTGAATATAATCAAATTTTGCAGGACCAATCCAAGCACTATCATGATACCATTTTGTAATGTCGAGGTCCACCAACACTAGCAACCAACGGACGAGAGCCCAGTGCGGTGGCAGTATCAATACAAATGGAACGACCAAAAAGAAAACCAATCCCGTGGAGGATATGGGTGCGAATAAATGCGGGCAAAAGTTCGAGAAAGATAATCAAACATGAACAATGGGGGATTCCTCAATAATATTAAAAAATGACCACCACTTAGTCAATTTCATGAATCGGTTACTAAAAAAGTATGAATGGTGAGAAAAAACTTTGCAAGAATCCATATCACTATTCAATTTTATCAAGACATGCTAGGGATCCAACGAGATGGGAAAACTCACCGAACAATTTTAGGTTAAAAAAGAATTTCCTAATCGTATCCAAAGATGGCTTACCATTACAGAAATTTCTGACTAAAGAAAAAACAAACAAGGGACAGCAAGAGATAACACCTCTTCCTCCGAAATCTAAAGAGAATGCAACCCCTCTAAAAGTAGATGTTTTAAGGTCTGCAAACGGCATCGAATACGAAGCCCCCGAGAGGGCATCAAGAAAAGATCTAGAATTAGATTTTCCGTTAAAAAATTCAGGTTCAATCAACCTCATTTGACTAGCTGCCATTCGCCGAGGCGAAGGCGGAACGATCAAGGATTCAAGAGGGCAAAGCAAAGAAAATCCAAAACCACTGGTACTGGGGCACATATATATTCCAATTCATTATTGCTACCCGATGGTTTGCTTAATGTATTTCATTTATGATTCTCTAATATATTAAATCTCCGTACTTAATCTTCTTATCTAGCTAGTATGCTTTCTTTCTAGTACAGTACTGCATTTGTGAGTCGTGTTGTATTAAACAGAAAAAAAAAAAAAACAGAACTGTGCAACTGTTCGGAGTATCAGAGCAAGACAAGGCATAACTATTCTCTCCTCTCAGTTGGTCATGTCGCATTCTACTTCCACACATACCAGCGGATGGGGAATCTTCAAGAATTTCTATTTCTCAATCACTGAAATTCCTAATAATCTCCTCTCCAACAGCAACTACATTTGGAGCTTATCACAAATTCTCAAACTATTTAGGTACACTGCATTATATATAACCAATGCTGCTTCTCAGTTTCCATCTAATTAAGTATTCTATTTATGTTATGGAATAGCCAATTCTCAACCCAATTTATAATACATAACAGCTGATGGATCAAAATCTTACCACCTTATATTCAACCATTTCAACTTCCGTTCTTCTGCATGTTCTCAATCTTGACTTAAAGGCTGAAATCTTGCAAACAAAGTGTTCTCAAGTTATTCAACTTTAAAACTATAGGAGAGAGTTATTAAGTATAGATTGCGACGTGATACTAATGTTTCTCAAAATCAAATTGGATTCATGCTGGATAATTCTACCATGGACGCTATACATTTATTGAGAGGTTTGATGGATCGGAGAAGTGGAGGAATGCATGGGGCTTGTTGTGTGATAAAAAAGTCTCACTCAAACTTAAGAGCAAATTCCATAAGATGGTGGTTAGATCTGCAATGCTTTATGGTGCATAATGCTGGCTATTAAAAGAGAAGCAAAATATTAAATTAAGTGTTGTAGAGATGAGGATGCTCAAGTGGATGAGTGACTTTATTTTTAGAAATAGGACATGAAATGAGCATATAAGTGAAAAGGTTGGAGTAGCTCCAGTGAAATATAAGATTAGAAAGAGTCGCCTTAAATGGTTTGGTCACATAAAATGGCGGCCTTCCGATGAACCGGTTAGAAAAGTATATGTTTTAGATTTGACTTTTATTAAGAAAGGTAGAGGTAGACCTAAAAATACTTGATTAAAAAATACTAGAAATTATCTTTCTTTATTAGATTTAAATGGTAACTTAAACTCTTAACATGACACAAATGGAGAAAAAGGATTCATGCAATTGACCCCACATAATATGATAAAGGCTTGATGATATTGTTGTTGTTCTCTTCCATCTCTTATTAGAAGAAATTTAAGGATGGTGAAATCTAAAACAAAGAATGTTTCAAATATCATATTTTTTAGTAAAATTTTAAAATAATTCAGAAAACTTTGATTTACCTTAAAATTTACTTATTTTAAATCTTTGCATATCCTAATAAATTATCAAATAAAAAATTCTTATTGTATTTCCAATTATCAATACTTAATTTTTATTTAAACAATTACTAAATGATCTTCTCAACAGATTTACATCTTTGTTCTTGGCCTTTCAGTGTTCTTTTCTCATCTGAAGGAATTTACATTTAACTCTTCTCCCCACAGAAACCTGTAGCCAAGACCATGATAAAATAACAAGAAAGTGACTAAGTACTTGAACAATTAATCTCATTAGCTCCAAATCACATATAAAAAGAAAGAGAACTGCTAAAGAACAACTGGACACTATTCCAAGCAAGCAATAACAGCACAAATACACACCAATATCAATCAACACAAAGCCACGAACCCTAAACCCTAAATAAGATGGAAAAGAAACAACAATAATCCATCAGCATCGCAAGAAAGCAAGCAGATTGGAACTGATCAAGGGCACTGAAACCCCTTAGGAACTCTCTTGCCACAGAAGTTGATGAGAAGGCTAAGATCAATAGGTAGAGAGAGGTGAATTCCGAGGATATTTGCTCTAAGAGCAGTGCAAAGGCACACTGCAGCTTCAAGGTCTACGAGTCCTTTCAGTAGGCTACAGCAGGGCTTCTTCGGTGGCTTGCCGAGGCCAATGTTGATGAGCCCATCCAACACGTTAGCGCAAACGCCTAGCTTCAGGGTATCAATGGGGCACTTTCCACCGCCTGATGGGGGGCTAGGGACAGAACCAGGTGGGCAAGGTGGGGGAGGTGGCAATGGTGTTGGGCAGTTGCCATGGCTGGCGTTAACTGTGACGAATACAAGCAAAGTGGCTAAGAGAAAGAGGGCAGATTTGAGTGCCATGGCTAGCTAGGCTAGGCTATGATAAGATAAGGAGATGGGAAGGGATAAGGTGGATGTACTTGTGCGTTGGGAGATGTATGAGGATACTTATAGGAACACAGATCACCTTGGCCTGTTGGTTGTGAGCTTATGCTTCGGTCTTGAGTTCGAGTTTTTGTGTATGCGTTGTGTGTGTGAGTTTTCCTTAAATGGCCTAAATGTCCCAAAAAAAAAAGATACTTATAGGATGAGAAAGAGAAGAGTTGTTGGATGAAAATATGAAGGGAGGGAAGGAGCTTTTATTCTGTGTGGGTATTGGATGGTTCTCTTGTCGGGTTAAGTGTTCGGTATCGAGTGATATCGAGTTCAGTACCTACCGAGCGGTATCGCTCTGTATCAAGTACGGTATATTTTTGGAATGAAGTGGGGTATTTTTATTGGTCTTCAAAGACTCCACAATAATAAGAAGAAGAAGAGTGCATGTGAGCTATGTGCTGGATTGGCCAACTTGAGAGCAAGAGGGAGAGAGAAAAAAAATTATTATTTGGAGGGATATGAAGGCCGGATATGAATTCCATCCATAGGAGAGAGGTTTTAAATATTAGTATTCGGAACATTTGTCAGGCATCTGGTCGTGTAGTGCGAAAAGGAAAATAATTGGTTCAAGAATGTTTTGAAACAATTATGAGGAAGGCTACCGTTTCATTGATTAATAAAACATATTTTTTGTTAAATGAAGATTACTTATCTGGCAAAAGAGATATATATATATATATATATATATGATGAGTGGCATATTTATGATGATAGAATAAGTGAGTTTATTATCTTAATATTATACGAAATATCCAACATATACATAAATAAGAGATGAGTTTTTATTAGTCATAAAAAATCACTTTGATAAAGGCACAAATCTCGAGGCATAATTAAATTGGAAACTTATGAGCAAATTTATAGTCAAACAAAACGTTTTGGTAAGACAAACCCAACGACACCAAAATCGATTCAATTTGAACATAAATGGGCTTAAATCAAGGGCATAATTAAAGCATATTTGGAAGCTTCAAAGCATTCATTTGATAACCAAATAACTTTCAAATATGGTTGCTTATAATCAATTCAATCGGCTAAATAAGACGAATCTAACGAGCCTAAGATCACTTAATTATGACATCATTAATGTATTTAAATGCTTGACGAGTGCTCTATGATGAAGAGATTCAATATGGGTTATCTGATGGAGCACTCCGAATTTGTTCTAGATCTTCTTCATACATATGGAGCATGTCACTACCAAGGATCTATAAATAGGCCCCGTTTTTCACATGAGAGGAGAGGAAGAGAAGAGAATTAGAGAGAACTCTTTTTCATTTTCCAGCCATCAGCGCCACTGACGATGACCACAAGTTATTATTGCCGACAACCACCATCACTGCTAAGGGTCAACATAAAAAAATCACCACCATCTGATCCAGAATCTTGATAAGATTTAACATTGCTATTGAGTACAATTGTCCACTTATGGACATCTACTTTCTATAATATCTATTGATAAAATCAAATCCTATTGTTGGGTGCTAATTGTTCCTCTACAGATACTTGATTTTTCTACTCTCCCTCTTCTTCTATAGTGAAGAAAAGATGATATCTCTAAGGGTGTCAATATTGAACCCGACTCAAAAATTTTGGGTTTGGGTTGACCCGAACCCGAAACGGGGTCGGGCTTGGGTTCAAAAACTTGACCCGTTTCAAAAATTGGGTCAAGTTCGGGTTAACCTTTTAGCCCGAAATTGACATATTTTTTATCTAAAAACCTGTTTTTGACCCGACTACCCGAGATTGACTCGTTTTAACCCAAAAAGTAGATATTGGACCAAAAAAAAACTAGAAATTTTTTGTTGGCACCGGGTCATTAAGGTCGAGTCGGGTTGATCCGGATCCCAAAGTGGGTCATTTTGGGTCTGGAAAATTGATCCATTTGTAAAAATGGGTCGAGTTCGGGTTGACCTAAATAATGTCGGGTCAGTTTCGGGTTCGACCCGAATCTGACCCGTGACTCGAAATTGACACCCCTAGATATCTCTATCACTTACTATATATTGGATTTTGCAACTGGGTCAAACCCCATAAAATTTTCCCTTTCCCTGTTTTCCACGTAAAAATTCTTGTGGTCTTATTATTATTATATGTATATGATGCATTTTTGTAAATGCTAGGATGCAAAACAAATACTCTATAGACTCCAAATTTTTAGCACTCAATATATATGAAGATTTTCCATTCACACTCATATATACGTGAAAAGGTTGGAGTAGTTCCATTACCAAATAAGATTAAAGAGAGTCATCTTAGATGGTATGATCACATAAAATACCGGCCTTCCTATGACTCTGTAAAGAGAATAGATGTTTTAGATTCGATCTATGTAAAGAAAAGTATAGTAGAGGTAGACTTAAAAAGATTTGATTAGAAAATATTAAAAATGATATTTTTTATTAGATTTAAATGAAACTTTGACTCTCAGTAGGACTCAATAGAAAAAAAATGATTAATATAGCCGACCCCATGTGGTGGAATAAAGACTTGTTATTGTTATTGTTATTGATCTCTACATAAATTTTGTTATAGTTGCTCAATTGTGCTATGTTATTACAGTTGAGATGAACCTGTGGACCTTCGTAAGGGTACCGCTCAGCGGGGACAGTATGCAAATGGTACGACTACACCATCCTGAAGGATGAGATGATCGTAGGCCTTTGCACTGTTCGCAAGTAGGTCAATGAAATGGCATATTAGAACGTACATACGTTTAATCATTGAGAATAGTAGCTCTCACCTACGCAACCTGACGGGTAATATAATACATGACCTAATCGAAACAACGAAGTTTCCCCCACCCGATATATCAGCTCAAGTGAGGTTTATTTGATTAGGGGATTCCGTTTCCCACGGGCATAATGTGATGCCCCAAAATCTAAATTGGAAGATATATTTATTTATCATTTAAATAATCAATAATCCGAGGTATCTAACATCATCTATCAGTAATAAATAGTATAATATATTCTATAATTTAAAACATCAAAGTACACATCTATATTCATTCCCAAAAGTCATATGCACTACTCAGGATTTACACAATCATCACATAGCTATCATGTCCTGAGTACAAAAAAAAATAATAACTATAATAAAATGAAACAGAACCTAAAGAACCCTGACCAGCCTCACACTCTTGCTCCTCTACCCTGACCTAAAAATATTTAACCACATATAATGACATTAAAAATTCCAACAGTTCACCAAAACCTACAACTAAACTCAAAGTACAGTAAAGGAGCAATATGCATGTCAACAGTCAAATCATAGCTGTTACATCCATATGATCATTGAATCAATGCAGAAATAGTAAAACTCACAAGCAGTAATAGTAAAATCTGTAAATAGTATAAAAGCCCATAAAATAGTAAATCACTACGAGTGTCAAATCTCAAAAAAAAAAAAAAAATTCGTCGTATCCATAATAATAATTAGTATAAAATTATATAAAATATTAAATCAAAATATCATTAATGACTATTAAAATCAAACCAATGTAGTAAAATTATATCATAATGTATACATGCTATCCAGTTATTCTATATCACATGCTTAGTATATCACATGTATAATATCAGTATAGTGAATCAATAATATTGAATAATGCTAGCGTCTATATTAGTAACAGTAACTATTAGTTGGCAGGAGCAGTAATGCAATAACAGTAAATCCGTACAATAATAATAAATTTGTACAATAATAAGAATAATGCCACAAAAATATGCATTTCAGTATTCACACTAAACAAGTAGAAGCCCTAGCTATTAGGGTGTTTTTCAGTATTGTATCAGTATCAACAAATAGTTGGCTCAGTAACATAGTCGTCACTCTTTGCCCGTCGGCACACTAATCATCTCCTTATAACTCTCAATTAATATCACGTGAATCAATAAAGGATAACATCAAACCACAATATTTAAAGGAAAACCCATCGGCCCACCATCCTGTACAGGTTTATCAGTCTCCAACCAACGGGTCAACTAGTCTTTACTTATCTTTTACACACACATTAGTATCACAATACTATAATAGCAATTTTAATCATGTATCCATATTCATTTTCAGTGCATTGTAAGAAACAAATATAACTGAACTTAATAAAGAATATACCAAAATGACATAATAGTAGACAACAAAGAATCCTATTAGGCAAAAATATACATTTTCAAAAAATTATCAAATTACCAGTGATTGTATAAAACGACATTTTAAAACTTTTATTCTACTACACTACTATTTTTAGAAGTCAAAATAAATTTAGGAGTAGCAAAAATCGATGTATTTTCAAAATCACATGGTAAAAAATCTCAAATAAATACTCAAAATGTTTATAATCACGATCTCTATAACATACAAAAAAGTTACGCAGTGAAAATTTTGACAATACAAAGTTATGCACGTTTTTCGTTACCGAAAATACAAATTTGAGCGGAAAAATATCAAAATACAAAATCTTTGAAATCAGAAATAGGCTATGGATTCCTTATTAGCAGATATTACATATTTACGCTTGTGTATTTACTGTTTTACATTCACTGTGTATATAAATACTTATACATGTATCAATTAACGATTGATTCAATAAAATCTATTTTTCCTTTCTTCCCTGTCTTTCGGCTGTGCCCGCCTGTCTCTGTTCAAGAAGCATTCTTCTCATGGTATCAGAGCTAGGAATGGGGGATCAAGCTTCAGCCAACTCAACTCCTCCCTCCTCCTCTACGATCCAAGCGGACACCGCCGATTCGCTGCATATCCCTCAAGCCCTGAAGTTTCTTGTCTCCAATATCAAGAACTTAGCCCCTCATCATCTCACGGTAGAAAACTACCCAATCTGGCGCACGCAAATCCATCAACAATTCGCGGCCAATGGATATTCCGGCCATCTTACAGGCGCAACTCCTGCACCAGCCGATCAGTCCACCGTCGCATATTCCAGATGGCAGCACATTGACAGCAACCTTCTTGCGGCTCTTTTCTCCACCATCTCGCAAG